TAAACCTTAAAAGGACAATGCAATTGGTGCTACACACACTCACACACACACACAAGCGTTACAGCCCACAAATGCAAGTATTTGGGCCTACATTGTTTCCGAATCAGTGGCAGCCCCAGTTGACTGTGTTACACTGCACATTCCTTTTGGCTCTGTGACATACTCTATTATGTAATAACAGCCTAGGAGATCAACTGAAACTAGCACGTGAAAAAATAACACAACAGAAAAAAGGTTTCTCTGGAGGAAGGGTGTATATATTGACTGGATTTATAGCATATTTTATCACCCAAAGGGAAGACTAAACTCAGAGAAAATGGCCTTCATCTGAGTTATTCTTGATGTTCCTTCTGTTAAAAGTCTCCTGCAAAAGTTATGCTCCAGTCTTAGCCAGATGCTTGGAAGGGGAATCAAAGTTCACTTAAAATGACCAACTGAACATTCTGTTTCTTTTGAGATATTTATACTCATATGTGTGTTTGTGCTTTTATAAAATGCCTATAAGCATTGAACTATGTGGTAGAGATTTTTCTAGAGCTGGAGGTTTTACAGAAGTATGGCAGGGTAGTCCTAGGTCCTTGTCACTATGACTGGGATTAAAATGAACCTTAGTGTGAACACAAGCTCATCCAATTGAAAAACATGATTACTTTGGACATTCAGGATACCTGTAATCAACCTTTCTCTTTCTATACAGTTTCAACTATGCAGTTAAAGAAGAGTGTTTAAAAAAATCTGGTGCAGCTTTATTAGTTTGTCCTTGATGAAGGCTAATACACTAGACTGGAGCTTTTTAATACACTATGTTTTCAGCAAAATCTTTAGCGCATCTTTAAAACACTTAATGAAATGGACATTATAAAACTCGGCTTCATTAACTTATGGAAACAGTGGAAGGGAGTTTCAAAAAGCTACAAGATTGTTTTGAATTCTAAAGACATTACAATTTTCATTCTCAGTAATTTCAGAATTTATGCATATACTGTAGGTAATCCTTTACTCAGAAGCCTGATTTTCAAACACCCAGGGTCTACTCTTTTTTTTTTAATTGCTTTTTTTTTAAAGGACTTACACACTGATAAAAGTTTGGCAGAGAACAATTTGTAAAAAACATTTCTACTAAGCAGGTTAAGCAATGGGCTAAATGTTTTGTCTATGCCTAATGCTTGAAAGGGTTTGTACTGCGTTTTGCGACTTGGATGTGGTCTGCACAGGAAGCTGCTGGCCCCTCCACAACACATACAATTTTTGTCTTTTTTTAAGAAGTTAAAACGGACTTTAATTTACTAAAAATGTAATTGTGTAGGGGGAAATGTTTATACTTTTATACTTTTTTAGGCACCCATATTTTATCAGCTTAAATTGAACACACAAATTTCCCCTAAATAGTAACAGATTATCTTGTGTATCTGAAAATAAGCATAACAGTTGTCTGTGTTAACTGCATATTAAAACATTTCCTCTGCTGCAGTAGTCACTGTGTTTTTAAGCAGTATGACTCCACCAAATTCTCTGAGCTCCCCAGCTCATGGAATTGCAGCCAACCATGTTATTTGTTGTTTTCCTGATGTGCTCTACAGAGTAATTCAGCATTGGTTTTAATGCCTAAAATGCCTGTTTTACAATGATCATTCTGAATCAGCATTTCTGTTTTTTCTTTTATTTAACCCAAAAAAGACAGACTATTGTTTATTAAAGTGAAATTTTCCTAAATGACATCAACAAAGCATGAGTAACAAACTGAGCAAACTGAACAAATTTAGAATGTGTAAAAGAGTGGGTTTTTTAAGTACGGTTTTTTTTCACTGGAGTATTTTCAGTTTTAAAACATGCTTTTATTATGAGATTACCTGCAGATTTTGGGGAAATGAGTGTTTAATCATTTTGCACTTTGTTTCCAATACCTCACAAAGATTTTAAGAAGGAAAGAAAAAAAGAGAAGTTTAGTAGGCAGGTACCTTGTAAATTATTTTAAATATGCCTTTGTTTGAGACCACTTGAACTAACTACTTTTCCATTCTTGCTACTGTCCTTATTGTTTTAATTTTTGTGAACATGTGAGGCTTTCAGATAGTTGGAAATGCTATTGTCAGCCTTTTTCAAGGCATTAGGAATTGATCCCTAAATAAGTTTGGTTTCTTTTTATTTGACTCTTGCAGTTTCAATAAAGTTAGCTACAGTAACAAAGTAATTGCCTTAGAGTCCAATCCACATCACCAGGGTTTGCAAACACCGCTTCCTCTTTTAAGATCTTGCAGGATGAAGTAATGTACCAATACAGTTTAAACGGGAGTCCTTTGTTTCTTTTCTGCCATTTGGAGAGTACCTACCTGAGAACTGCCTGGGATTCTGGAGACCTGAGGGTTCACTGACAGGCTGGAGCTGCAAAGCTGTAATGCAAACCCCTGTGACCCAACTCTGAATTTACACAGCTCCTCTGTTCTTACATCAGAACAGTATTCCAGGTTAGAACTTAAGCAGGAAGGGAGAGATACTAAATTCCTTAAAGGCTTTTACATGACAAACTTCTTGCAAAACTTGTTTAAAAACTGAGAAGTTCAAATTTGCTATAGCAATTTCTTGCTTTGAGTTAGGAAACAGAGAGCGTATTGTTGGCCTTAAATTTCCTCAGAGGCCATTTTCCTTTATCGGAAATGACATTTTTATATTATATGCTTTTGACTTCTTCAAGTGCCAAGTGAATCAGAGTTTATCTGCAATGAAGAAGTAATTCTGAGGCCTCTAAGATGTGAATGTCATATGGTCCATAATAACTGTCCAAAAGTATAGTCTGAGTCAGCAGTTCCCACAGTAAACAGACAAAAGGTTATCTGGAATTTTATCCCATCTCACTATGGGATTTCCATGGATTATGGCTAATTGCAAGGGGTTTATTCCACAGTAATTTAAATGTGTGTCAAAGGCCTGATTGAATTCAGAAGCTTATATTGACGCTTTACTAAAGTGTCAGTCCTCAGAACAAAATGTGTTTTTTTCAAACTCAGATAGGTTTATTTTAATGATAAAAGTTCCTTTCATCTTGCATTGTAGGGTTAGGAAAAGATATTTCTTAAAAAAATGAAGCTTAGTGTATCCATCTTGACTTTTTTGTTTTCAGATTTTCTTAAGACAATACTTATGTAGCTCCATTTCCAGCAATGTGAATGCACAGTTATGATCAATTAGAACTATTTCCTGCAGAAAACAAAAATTGAATCAATCTCCTTTTTTCTGAAAGAGGTGGTTTGTTGTTTTGTTGTGTTGGTTTTTTTTTCCCCAGGAGAAATATGAAAGCTTCTGGCAGATTAAACAAAAGAAAACTGGGTTGCA